AAAAGAAAAGAAAAGAAAAGAAAAGAAAAGAAAAGAAAAGAAAAGAAAAGAAAAGAAAAGAAAAGAAAAGAAAAGAAAAGAAAAGAAAAGAAAAGCAAGGAAAATAAGGAGTTGGGCATGAAATGGCATGAGCAGAAACCCAGTAGAGCAGTAACAGGCTAGGGCACAGCCTGTAAAGACAAGGCCACGTGCCAGTGTGGGCACTGGGCATCAGAACAGATGACACCTGGACAGACACACAGACCAGCACCTACTTGGAAAGCTGTGGATCCTCATTGTTGTGTGAGGACAGATGGTACATCATCCTGCCCACTCCGGTGTAGCTGGTAGGATGCAGGTACCATCYAGTTTCCTTTGAGTGTTTTACTGGAGCAGCCTCGTCTGCAGCAGACCAGCACTAAGGAAGAGATCAGCAGTTTGACTACATGTTACACAGCATTTCCTTCAAGCTAACACACAGCCTCCAAGGATGGAGTATTTAGTGGGTTTTTGTAAGGATTATGAAAGTGTGCAGCCCCTTGGCAGGTTTTTTGTTCCAGCATGGAGCACTAAATTATAGTAACAGCCTTTTGTCCTCCTTTCAGGCCTCAGCTTCTCCTTCCTGGCTATGAGACTTCAGTGTCATGTTGTCATTAAATGAAACGTAAGTATGTTCCACAGTGTACAATTTTCAAAAGTCTGCAGTGACTGGTGATATTCACACTACCTAGGGAAGGTCCCGTTTTCCTTTCCTTGGTTTTCGACCAGAATGCCCAGGAATGGAAAGCTTTCCACCAGTATAGTAAAGATCTTACTCTTCTAATAAGATATCRGAAACAAGGTCACACAATGTAGGAGATAACTTATCATGATAACATTAATACATGAGAAGTGATTTTTTGTGTGTGTGTGTGTTAGTACAGTATGATGGAGGAATGAAAGTGCAAGACTAGTGCAGTTATCRAGACCACACGGACTTGCTAGAACCAAGATGTAATTAGGAAAATGTCTCTGATCAAAGTAGTTGTGTTTTTGCCTTTGAACTGATCCTGAGGAAGGGCTCAGTCAGCATCTTGCTACTGTAAAACCTAAATCTGCAGCCTCTGAGGTTATTAAAATTTTAGAGCACTTTTTTTCCCAATGAAAATCAAAGTTTAGTTAAGTCTCTAAGTAAGCTATATCTGAGGTAAGCTTTCCTCTAAAAATTTAACTAGATATTTCACTTACAGCTCTAAATTTTATATAATGTTGCTTTTTACAGCTGAGCAATAGCCACTTTGCACTGCAGCTCACTGGTGTTCTTGTGGGCAGTTCAATCTACATGGAGAAGACTGCACCGTGAGGTAGAAATTTAGTTCCCTTCCTCACTCCAGCTACCTGCACTTTGGTATCCCCCAACCAAAAAGTCTGCAAATATTTCCCTGGGTCTTAATGAAGATGTAGCTGCTTATTTTTCCTTACACCTTGTAATTTTTTAGCCAGTTCTTAAGCCAAAACATTTACTATTCATCAGAGAGCTTCCAAAATGCACCAGATWGCTGCTGCTGCAAATAAACGATCACAATTTCATCCAGAGTCTTTATACATTGAAGATTCTACTTCTGAGAAATAGGTTTATGCAAGGTTTTGGAYCTAATTATTTTAAAGAAATTTGACCAGCTAGTCAATTATACCAACTAAATTAGACCATACAGTACACCAATACACATTTGCCATCTGGTTGCCAATACACATTTACTGAATGTGATCTCCTCTCAGCTTCCTTTCCAAAAAAGGAAGGGAAAAGAAAAACAATGAAAGGGATTCATTTCAAAAAGCAAGAAATCAGCATGAAATTCCTTACYTCCAYGGTCTAATAGATTTGGTAGTAAAGGTGATTTGTATTTACATCTCCAGTAACTTTGCTGTTTATCAACAGCTCTTGCTGATGAACA